TTCCCATTAGTGTATGTGGACAATCTGCAACTATAATTCAATTCAATATCCTCTTAATTCTTACAAACACTTAATGGATACATATGACACCTTAGAACGTTCCTCTTTTATTGTTATGGTAAAGGTGGTGTACAGATGGCTTACTGTTGTCAGGTAATGAGTACATTTCTTTTTGAACAGCACCAATCCTACCCTTTCTTTCTCCGTTTTTCCATCCCAACTTGCCCACAAGTGGTATAGTTCATTTTCAAAATAGTGTCTAGTGATTATCCCTGCTGCATTAATTCACCTTTTGTCCTACAATTTTTATGCTTCCCCTTTACACTCCCCAAAAGAGATAAACTTACATACAAGACAAAATGTACAGAAAATAAAAACAAGACAAAGAAAACAAACAAAATAACAAAACCTTCATTTCCAAGTCTTTTAGTTAATTTCTATAAATATCATTTTATATGATTATATGCACATCGCCTATTGGACATCCGTGATCCTCTTTAGAATATCCTCCTTGGGTCTCATGATGTGAATGATTGGAGTCCAGTATAATTTGCCATGTATCTTTTGTGTATTTTTTGTCTTTTACCATCCAGTGTATTTTTTGTCTTTTATCATCCAGCATGTTTACTTGTTGATTTATATGAATATTCTAGTTAAAAGGAGGGAAACCATGCAACCTATGTTTCTGTGGGTCTGGCTTACTTTACTTAATATAATTTTTTCCACATCTTTTCATTTCCTTCTGAATGGCCCAGTATTATTCTGTCTTTTGGAAGCATATAATCCCATTGTGTCCTTTCTTCATACATTTGTCTTGTGTGGGGCTTTGCTCAGAGTCCTGGAAGCAACTGCTGGCTGCAGAAAGAGAGAGAGAGCCAACCAGCCATGCCCTGGGTGTAAAGACCCCACATGTGTACACACAAAGCCAGCCCATGTGCTGATTAAATGCTTCCTCTCACAGAGCTTCTTTAGGAACACACTTGCTGCCATCTTCCCTGGACACTGTGGCCAGGTATCCCAGGATGCCCTATATTGTGAGTGATCTTTGTTTTTCAGCACCCTGATAGTAAAGAGCTAAAACTTGAGATAAAGCACTACAATATGGATTAAAAAATGGAACATTTTGTTTAGGCAGTAGCTTCCTGATTAAAACTCCAAATAGCTCAATAAATAAGAGCAAGAATTAACAACTGGGATTACATCAAACTAAAAACCTTTAGCCCAACAAAGTAAACAATCAGTAGATTGTTTCAGAACATTGTTGCTTCCTTAGGCAATAGTAAATGGATGCATTTGTGGAGACCTCTGTATATGGAATCTGGACTGTAACCTGCTTGAATCAACCAGTAATGTTCTGTAGCTGTTTTGGATAATAGCTGTGTGAATTTACCATCTGGGTATGATGCACTAGTATCTTTGATTGACATCTCACTGGCATAGATTTTTTTTTTTTTTGCCATTTCACCATGCACCTGAAATGGCATATTCTGATGCAATCCAGTTGCATCATCCCAAATGGCTTTGATGCAAATAGTTCCTTGACACAGATGTTAGAGCAAATACATCAAAGACAACTTCATCCCTGGGGACTCACTATCTGCAGTCCTGGAGGAAATCACATCACCTAGGATGAAGAAGAAGAATCTGCAAACATGTTTTCCAACTCATGTTTTTCTCTGCATGCAGAGCCGCAGATGCAGAGCCCCAGGGAAGTTTTACCCATTCTTCCTGGGGATTCACAGAGGCTTTGATGAAAGGTGCACTACAGTGTACCTCTCTGTCAATAAAAAGACACAAATAAAAAGATTTATGAATATACACACTTGACAGCCAGAATTTCACCTTGGCAGGTGCGTCAAGAATGAGCTTTTTGATGTTCACACTTGTTCTTCTCCAGCTTCCCCTCCTTGTCAGGTCCTGGGCTGGCACTGGCTGCTTTCCTACTATGAAGCAACAAGCACACATGGATGGAGATGTGATGATTTCTGGGTTTTTCCCTCTCTATGCTTTGGGAACAGATCGCAGTCACAGTGATGCTTCTAGAGATGTACAGAACAAGCCATAAGTAACTCATCATTGTATTTCCATTTACTGATCTGTCCTCAGGATGGGAAATGGGAACTCCAAGTGCACACATGAATGCTCTCTGTCTTCTCTACCCTGAAGTGTTCTGTTGGTGTATGTGAGGATCTTCTGATCAAGTGTGAAATTTAACTCTGCTGCCTCCCTGTTGATTTTGTCTGAATGATCCCTCCATAAAATCTTCAGCTATTATTATATTGAGGACTATCAAAGTCTGCTTAACATAGTTTAGTGATTGTATAGTATGTAAATATACATTTTGAATTGCTATTTCATCTTGTCAATTTGATACCTTCATCATTACATTACAAAAATGTCACTTCATTGCTTTGATTAAACTCTATTGGATATGATATATTATAGATGCTCCTACTTTCTTTTATATTTCATTTGTATTTACTGACCTTTCTTATACTCATTGAGAGCCATTGATGGTGAAGTGAGTTTCTTGGCATCAACCTGTCCTTTGGCCTTGAGTTTTTATTCACTCAGCCATTCTAGCTCTTACTGGTAGAATTTCATGCATTTACATTTGCAGTCATTGTGACAGGTCATAACTCCTTATTGCCATTATGTAATTTGTTCTCTATGTTAATTGAAGCTTCTTCCACTCTTTCTCTCCTTAAAGAGACTTCAGTGGTTATGAAGGAAGCTCAATAGTAGTGTCTTTTGATTTCTGAATTACGAGCTTTCATTTGTCTGTTATATATTTTCTGGTAATTACCAATTGAAAATAGATGACAGGAAGCTATTTTGGAATAACAACTATCTGGGATGAGGAGGATGAAATAAAAAGAGAAAATAAACATACAAGTAATAGAGGGCTATGATCAAAGTCCATAAATCAATGTTCAGAAATGTCATAATGAAATCTTTTCATTTAATTTTTAATTAAATCTTTTCATTTAATATATTAAGATGAGATGTTAAAGACAAACAGGAACTGAAACTGCATTGTATTCCTCTTATCATTTGTAGTATTGGATATCCAATTTTATATTCTACAGTAATTATAAGATATAATTATATTAATAATTTCCCTCTGCATAAGAATTGTGTATGATTTTGCTAGCATATTTACAATATTAGAGCATTTTCAACTAGTTTTATAGCCACCTCAACTAGTAAGTTTTATACATTCTTGAATATTTTTATTGTTCATCAATGGTTCAATCTTTTGGACAAAATGCTTTTCTGTTAATTATGTAAAAATAAGTGTTTATTTTTGTATACAGTGGTTCTAATACCCTATAAACACTTAACATTTCCCATTTAAAAACTTCTTCAGGAAGTGGTGCTGAGGCTCAAGTGGTACAGCACTCACCTTGAGCTGAAGAGCACAGGGACAGCACCCAAGTCCAGAGTTCAAGCACCACGAACGACCAAAAAAAAAAAAAACTTCTTCAAACAGCTGTCTACCCCATTCTGATTTTCTTACAAAGTGGCCATGTTACATGGGCATTAAATTTGGGTGACAAATGGAATACTTTTGGGTTTTTTGTGGAACAGGTCTAGAGGAGTATATTCTTTTAACTGTACTTGTCTGGGAATATCTTTACCCTTTTATCCTTCACTTCTAAAGGATGTCTTTGCTGGCAACAGTAATCTTGGTACACAATTTATCCATTTTTATCCTTAATATTCTAAGGATTTCCTGCCATACTCTCTGGGATTCTGTGGATTCTACTGAGGAGTCAGCCCTTAGGAAAACAGAGGAATACCTATGTGTTATGGGTTCCATTTATAGCTTCTGTACTCGAGTAGGTGTTGTGGTCAAACATTTGATCAATCTTTCATCTCTAGATATCTCATATTTGTATCATTGTCTACATTAGGAAATTTAAATTCTGCCATTGCTTCTTAGAACAAGCATTTTAACTTTTTGGCATTCTCAACCATTTACTAAATCCTCAAAACACTAATATTTGCTTTTTGTCAGCTTTTGACCAGTCTTTTTCCACATGTCTTCATTCTTGCTTTCAGGTTCCTCATACATATGTGTATGTTCAGTTAGACTTTACTCAAGCTTACTATTTTTTTTCTGTTTAGAAGACATCTTTTACATGATAGGCTTCCAATTTGAAATTTCAAATATGTGTACACCATATATTAAACAAGTTAATCCTCACATTTGTATTTCTGTCTTGCCTCCATTATTTCCTTTTTAAACAATGTGTATTGATTCAATATTATTTATTTTTTATTTTTTATTGTGAAAATACTGTACAGAGGGGTTACAATTACATGGGCAAGATAATGAGTACATTTCTTATCAAGCATTGTAGCCTCCTCCTTTGTTTCCCCTTCCCATCCATTCTCAATATTATTTCTTTAGAATGTGTGTATACACATACTCACACCATTGCACAGACATAACAGAGAGAGAGAGAGCAAAGTGTTGATTCTCTTTATTCCTCTGTAGTCTTTCTAGGATCTCAACCTAACAATATTGGGAAGGCATTTTACAATGGTGGCTTTGGATCTTTGGATTTCAATGTAAAGCTTACTCACAATTCTTTCGTTTCTCCTCATGTTGTAGATTTCTTTCTCCATGATGACATGCTTGCAGTTAGATACATCCCTTTGGTTTTATTACATAAATAAGAAAAAGATTCCCTCACCTCGTATTTGAGCTCTTCTTCTGGCTGATATTGCAGGAAGAGCTCTTCAATATGTCAGGTCTGTTAGTTAGTGAAGCTTAATATAGAATCTTCCTTAAATGACTATTGAAGATGTATTACTTAGCCCAGCCTGCCATATAACCACATAACATAAACTGGGTGATGGAAAACACAAGATTTTTCACACAGGTGGAGCTAGTTACTGGAAGATAAAAAGCAAGAGAATATTTGGTGTCTCTTGAAAGACTATTCCATGTTTAATGGGCAACATTAGTGTTTGTTGTGGTGCATGTGATAATGGGGAATAAGTAAGCTCTCTCTTAAGTTTCTTAATCTTATGCATGACAAATTCCCTTCATGTCCTTAATCCCTTAGATAAGCATAAGACGCTACACTTGCATTCCATCATAATTGGGTAATGCTTTAACATATTCATTGGCACAAAAGCAACCATTTAGTCCATCAAATCGATAAGTTTTAATTTTCTATGCTCATTATGCAGATTTATCTTCAACACCTACCAGTTTGTTTTGGCCTTGGCTTTTGCTATTGAAGAGATCAATGAAAACCCTCATCTTTTACATAACTTGACTCTGGGATTTAATATCTTTAATGCTCACATGGAAGCTTGGAAAACATTTAAAAATCTCTTCATGAGCCTCTTTGGGAAGGACAACATTCCAAACTACTCTTGTATGAGAGAGAGCAAGTCTATAGCAGTACTGACAGGACCATCAGGATCATTATCTGCCCAGATTGGTATATTGCTGAACCTGTACAGATTTCCACAGGTGAGGGAGGAAGGAGTGAAAGGATATAACAAAGTGTCTAATTTGGTGCCATTTTAGCTGTTAGAAGATAGTGATAGGAAGATAATGAATTTATGAACTTATCAAATTTTGTGATATCAAAGAGTAAGTATTCAAGGTAATAGAGCATCCATGCTACCATTTTTAGGAAAGGGACTGGAAAAGTTAGAGCCACAAAAAGATTGTTTGGACTTTTAAACTTTGTCAATACTTTTCTTAAAAAATCAGTAAATGGAAAAATGACTTTAAAGTATAGCAATATGTTGAGCTGGGTCCTTGTAGCTAATAACTGCAAACCTAGCTACTAAGGAGAAATCTCTAATTAACCAGCAAAAAGCAGGAAGTAATGTGTGGGTTGAGTGATAGAGAGCTAGCTTTGAGGGAGAAAGCCAAAGAAGTGCATGAGGCCCTGAGATCATCCCCCTACAATAGTATACACACACACACACACACACACACACACACACATGTAAGATCTTATGTTGAATGATGTAACTCAGACTCACAAAGGGAAAGGAGCATGTGTTCTCTCATATGTGAAAGTTAAATCTAAATATGAACATGTAATATAAAATAAATATAGGGCACACACATATCCATTTACAAATATATTTGATTAATCTGTAAACTATGGTACACATAGAGGTGGAATCCCATGGTATAACACCTCTGATCAACTAACAGACATTAAAGAAAACTAACACTAGAACATTGAAGCATAACTTGTCTGGGGGGAGTTGTTGGATGTGCAAAGGGGCAGAGAAATATGGAGTAGATGGATGGGAAAATACAACATATCACTATACACAACACACACACACACACACATACATATTCAGATGTGTGTGTGAAAATGGACCTAGGAAAGTCAAGGAATGGGTAGAGTTGCTATAGATTAAAAGATCAAGGAGCTTTGTATGAACAAATTGAAATGTTGTACAACTATTAAAAAACAATTTTTTAAACTAAGAAAAATCCACCTTCCACCTACTTCAAATGGTTATTTAATACATATCATAAGTGAGATCATAATGAATAAAAATCTTCTCATTCATGGAGTATCCAATTTTCATTCCCTTTAGCATACATTTGGGCCTTTTGATCATGCCCTGAGTGACCATAAGAACTTTCCTGCTCTCTATCAGATGGCCTCAAAGGACACTTCGATAGCCATTGCCCTGATCTCCTTACTCCTTCATTTCAGCTGGAACTGGGTTGGACTATTGACCTCACAAGATGAGAATGGCTTGTGGATTATTCCTGAATTGAAAGAAGAGATGGACAAGAATAAAATTTGTGTAGACTTTGAGCTACAAATCCCAGCCTCTGGCCTGGAATATGTTTTTAAAGTCATGGCACTTTACAAACAGATTAATAAATCTTCAGCAAACATCCTCATCATACTTGGAGATAGTGAAGGCATAATAGATGTGATGAGGTGTATTGAGCAATTTTTAATAAAAGGCAAAGTTTGTATCATGAACTCACAGCTAGAGTTCACCACGAGGAGGAAATATTTTGTACTAGGTTCAATTCATGTACCTCTCATTTTTTCACACCATCATCCAGATATTTTAGGTTTCACAGATTTTGTCAAGGCAGTTAACCCTTCCAAATACCCAGAAGACTTTTTCCTAGCGAGACTGTGGTTTTTCTCTTTTAATTGTTCAGATTCAAAGTCTGACTGTGTAACATGGGAGAACTGTCCTCATGAAGCCTCCTTCGACTGGCTGCCTAAGCACAGTTATGACATGACTATGTCTGGAGGCAGTTACCATATATACAACGCTGTGTATGCTGTGGCCCAGGCTCTCCATGAGATGCTTCTTCATCAAACAGAAGCACAAACAGTGGGAAAGAGGGAAGGGGCAGTGACTTCCCCTGCACAGGTAAAGCCCTCTGTGTTTGATGACATACCCCGTAGGCAATGTCACTTCTTAGATAGTTCTCATACCATATAAAATTTAAGCATTTTAGGTATTTTTTTCAAAACCAAGAAATTATATTTGTTTAAATGTCTGTGAAGTACTCTGGACATGTATTTTTGTGCTTTTAAGGAAAAGCAGGCCGTAACAAGGATCAAGTGAGTTCCATGTTTCATAAATTCTTTTAGTTACAAATAGCCTCAACATATGCATAACTGATAGTTTTCTTTATTTTTTATTGTCAAGGTGATATACAGAGGGGTTACAGTTGCACAAGTAAGATAGTAAGTACATTTCTTGTCAAACTTGTTACCCCTTCATTCATTTTTCTCTTTCTTTCCCTCCCCCCACCCCTCAAATTGTACGGATCATTTCCAACATATTGTCTTGTGTATATTGCTGTTGCAATTGCCCCTCCCTTGTAGCAGATGTTTTGAAAACTATAAATGTACCTTGAGTTTCCCTATGAGTTTCTTATGTAATAGCAAAGGATGACCTGCTGAAAAGAATTACCCATATTTTGCATAAGGGACCTAGTTTTATTCTACTTTAAGTATTAAAATTTTACCAAGTTCATACTAGCAACATTCATAAAATTAGTGGCTGTGGCAAACAGTAGCTAGACAACTCAAAGTCATCTCATTTGTGACTATCTAGACTTGGTTTCTTTTGAAAAGGTTGCATCTACTTCTTTGACAAGTGACCAAGATTTGGCTAAATTATTTTTATTCCTCCATATATTTTTTTCCCCGAATACTTCATTAGGTGGTTCTACTATTCTTGCATTCTACATCAAAATTTAAAGTCAATGAGGAACTTTTTTTCTTCAGGTTTTCTGTCTTAACTCGGGATGTACTTCACCATAAGATGATGTATGTCTTTTAGCTGCACTCTTTTCTGAAGAACATCCAGTTTCACAATCCTGCTGAAGACCAAGTGATTTTGGATGACAAAAGGAAACTGGAAGCAGAGTATGACATTGTAAACATATGGAATTTCCCAGAAGGTCTTGAACTTGAGGTGAAAGTAGGAAAGTTTTCTTCTTATGCTCAGCTGTCTTTATCTGAAGATATGGTACATTGGGCCATAGAAACTACAGAGGTGGGTTGGGTTTAATTGCAATGATTGTAAGGACATATAAGTAAGAAAATTTCACCCTTAAAATGTATATCTGGTTGGATGTCAGCAACCTATTCTTGTAATACTAGCTAATTAGATGACTGAGATACAAATATTGTGGTTTGAAGGCAGTCCAAGAAGGAACTTCTTTTAGATGCTTATCTTCACTTAACCACCAAATAAAGCAGGGCTGGACACTAGTGACTCATGCCTGTAATCCTATCTACTCAGGAGGAAGATATCCTCAGGTCTAAGATTACAGATCTGTTGAAAGTCCAACCTGGCAGAAAAGTCTTTGAGACTCTTATTGCAACTGACCATCAAAAACCTCAGATGGAACCTCAGGTCAAGTGGTAGAGTGCTCACCTTCAGGGGAAAAAAAGCCCAAGGAAAATGAACAAATCCTTAGATCAAACCCTGAGACTAGCACCAAAAAAATAGACATTAACAGTCTCTAAATGTTGATTTAGAATAGTGTCATAAAATGTAAGTTGCATATTTCTTAGCAAGCTTTTAACACTGTGAAAAAGTACCCAAGGAATCACTTTATGTGGTTAAAGGGTTATTTTTCTCCCTTCTGTGGAAGTTTCATTCAATGGTTAATTGGTTAAGCATCTTTGGTGAGAGGAGTCCTTCAATCAGCCTGTGTGAGAAGATTCTCACTTCATGGCCACCGGAAAACTAAGACAATACTACGTACATGGAGTTCACATAACCCTATAAAAGGGAGGTCTGTGCCCTATCTTACAGCACACTTTTAAAGCTTCAGAGAGGATTCTTCCTCCTTGCCCTTCACAATTTCACAGATGAGCAGGAGACAACACATAATTACATGAATTCAAGGAAGTTCCATAGGGTTGGACACTAGAACTTACTTTCTCACCATTAAACTCTACATTTAAAGGTCTCACACTTCTCAATAGTTCCACAGGCTATAGATCAAGGCTATAGCACATTAGCCTTTTGTAATAATGTGATGGCAATCTATAGCAACATTCAGTTCATTGGTTGTATTTATGTGTATAGAAATAATACACTTAATAATTCAATATTTTAAAACAATGGATTGTTGGAGCACTATGTGAAGTCTAAACAATTACTGACACATATCTGATTTTCCTCAGCCTACTCACTCTGTCTGCAGTGAGAGTTGTGATCCTGGATTCAGGAAATCCCCTCAGGAAGAAAAGGCAGCCTGTTGCTTTGATTGCACACCATGCTCAGAGAATGAGATTGCTAATGGGACAGGTAAGTTGATGTCTTAGTGAGAAATTCATTTTCTTTGCTGGTATCCCCAATCCATGCAAGCCAATACAAAAGTTGTGTATTATGATTACAGAATCAAATTCTTCCTTCCTTCACTTAGTAATCTAATTGTGACACTGGTTGATTCTTCTCCTTGAAAAAAAAATCATGGGCTCTGATTTACGTATAAGATTAATTTTTTCTGGTCTATTGTATTTATATTTACTCAAATACTCAGTAATGTAAGCTTAACTTCTATCATATTAAATGAAAAATCTTTTTAAGAACGAGGTCCCCATCTTCTTCAAAATTACCTTCAGACTACAAAGAAAACACAGATCATGTGTATCTTTATTTCCTAGTGCTTAGAACTGTTCTTGCAACAGAGAAAAATGCTCTGGGTTGGGTTTGGTATAAGAAGCAGGCACAAGTATTGTGCATAGCATGACTTTATAGTTTCAAAGAGTCATTTGATTCTCTATCCCCTATAGGTGAGTAGGAGAGACAGATATAACAACTGCAAGGAAGGGTCACAGTTGTCCAATTTATATTGTACAGACAATATAGAGGAAGTTACAAGGTTTACTATCCACAATTTTGAATGAGGGGTTTGCGTTGTACACACAAGTCTGAGAATTATGGCAGCATGAAGAGGCACAGAAAATTATTCATAGGATATTAGAAATGGCAAGAAACAATATTTGTGATTGTCATTACAAGCAAAAGAATTTCAATCAGACTAAAATATGAGAATATGGGAATGAGTGTGGGAACATGATAAAGACATAAAAATAATAGTAAAAATTTCTGCTAATAGTTGGTAATACTTACTTTATGCTGGTAAGTATTCACGTGTCAGAATTATCTCTAGATGGGGACTTTCTAATTTCCTTTTAAATATTGGAAAGGGATAAATGGTTATTTGAATTCCTCACTAGATATGGAGCACTGTATGAAGTGTCCAGATCATCAGTACGCCAACACAGAGAGAAACCAGTGCCTCCTAAGAGCTGCACGTTTCCTGGCTTATGAAGAACCCTTAGGGATGGCCTTGGCCTGCATGGCTCTTTCTTTATCTATACTCACAACAGTTGTTCTTGGGGTCTTTGTGAAACACAAGAACACTCCCATTGTCAAGGCTAATAACCAGGCTCTCAGCTACATCCTACTCATCTCCCTCATCTTCTGCTTCCTCTGTTCTTCATTGGCCGTCCCAACACAAGCACCTGCATTCTACAGCAGACCACATTTGGAGTTGTGTTCACTGTAGCTGTTTCTGCTGTCTTGGCCAAAACTGTAACTGTGGTTCTGGCCTTCAAGGTCACTTCTCCAGGGAGAAGGATGAGGTGGCTGCTGCTGTCCGGGGCTCCTAACTTCATCATCCCCATCTGCACTCTGATCCAGGTCACTTTGTGTGGACTCTGGCTGGGAACCTCTCCTCCCTTCATTGACACAGATGCACAATCTGAACATGGCCACCTCATCATCCTGTGCAACAAGGGCTCCCTCACTGCTTTCTACTGTGTTCTGGGATACCTGGGCTTCCTGGCTCTGATCAGCTTCACTTTGGCTTTCCTGGCCAGGAACCTACCTGACACCTTCAATGAAGCCAAGTTCCTGACCGTCAGCATGCTGCTGTTCTGCATTGTCTGGATCACTTTTCTGCCTGTCTACCACAGTGCCAAGGGGGAAGTCATGGTGGCTGTAGAGATCTTCTCCATCTTGGCATCTAGTGCAGGGCTACTGGGCTGTATCTTTGCCCCCAAGTGCTACATAATCTTGTTAAGGCCAGATAGAAATTTTCTGCTTGGCTTCGGGGACAGAAGTCATCCTCGGAGAAATAGACCCTCTTAAAGTGAAACTTACATGTTAGATCAAGTGTATTCCTTTTTCCATCAGATATTAGTTTATATTGTTGTAATAACTTTGATGAATAAATGACTCTTACTCATTTCTCTAGCCAGAGCCAAATAAATTTGAAATTTCTTCTGTATATGTTTTATTCTATTTACTTTGTATTTAGCTCATCATATCCACTACTATATTTTCTCTGCTGACTTGTTTTCTAATATTGCTTTCTTAACCATTTGCCTAAAATTTCTTATTTGTTGTCAGTCCTGGGGCTTGAACTTAAAGTCTGGGTACTCTCTCTGAGTTTGTTGCTTTTTTTACTCAAAACTGGGGCATTTCCATTTAAGTTACAGCTCTACTGTTAGCTCTTTAGTGTGTTAACTAGAGATAACATTCTCATGAACTTTCTTGCCCAGGTTGGTTTCATACTATGATCATCTTAGCTCCTAGAGTAGATAGAATTATGGTATTTTTCTAAATTTTAAAGAACATTAACTTCCTGCCTACACATCACTATGCTGCTTAATCCTCAATGGTTAAACCTTCAATATTGCCTTCATGATGAAGTTCCAGGTTTTTATATGCTTGTTAGAGTTTACTTTGTTTGATAATGGTGTATTTACATTCCTACATCTGTTTTTGGCCAATATTCTTCAATATGTTTTGTGTCCATTTTCTTTCCCTCTTTCTCTTCCTTTTATCTTTCTTCCTGTGCCTTGAAGGTCACATTTTCTACACGTATTTAATACCAACCCGCCCTACCATGACCACCTCACCACGTCCCACGGAGCCAGGCACACAGCCAGGGCCTCTGCCACAGGGGCATCATCGCATCTCCCCATGGAGATGTGCACACTTTAAACGCCGTCACCACTTCCTAGAGGAAAAAGCACACGTGGAGTGACCCAGGTCCTTTGGACTGAGGGAAGGCCGTGTGGACAAGGACAGGCACGCGGGAGCAGCCACCGATGGTTCGAGGAAAAGAGGGGGAGCAGCGGCAGCCTGGGAGTGAGTCAGGGACGGAGCGCAGCAGACTGCACAAGAGTGAGACCCAAGTGTGCAACTGAAGCATTCAGGTCAAGCATCTGCCCAACGGCTGGTTGTTTTGCACACGTGTGTGTGTGAACAACCAGCTTGGTTTTCCCCAGCATAAGCCTGACCTGTAAAAGCTAGAGATGATCTTGTAGGTGAAGCGACTAAGCTAGCCGACAGTGTGCTGTCAGATTACTGTGGACAAAAGAGGGACTGATGGTTTATGTTACCCTTAAGTTACGGGGTGCGTGGCCGTAACCCCGTGCCACCACCGGGAAGGCACGGGGGCCCGGCTTCCTGCTGTACCTTCCTGAACTTCACCACTACAATATCTCAGCTGAAAAGAACAAGACAGATCCTTGCGACCCTCGAGGAACGCGCTAACGGGTTTAGTGCTGGAGAGGAGCCGAGGAACGAGTCGAGGCTGTGTCCCAAACGTCTACCGGGCCACCCGCGATGCCCTGACCCCGCCAATCGGTGAGCGCGTGCTCGTCATCGCCGTCGAGCCAGGCAGAAGCTGCGACCCGGCGCACAGGCGGGCTCGCGGTTCCCGTGGTGGGCTTCCTCTTCTCCAACTCCTCGTTCTGCTCCTGCTTCTTCCTCTTTCCCCACCTTGACCTCTGTATTGTCAAGGACTTACCCGACCATATTCTTCAACTTCTACTCTTCTTGGCCATTCCCAGCGTTCTTTTGGTAGCTCCTTTCCTGCCGTTAACTGTGTTAGTGGACGTTGGCGTAGACTTGGAGCTGCCCATCCCACCACGGCCAAACTACACCGAGGAGAAGGGGGGAGGCCTCTGCGACCCACTGACCTAGGCGAAGGAAAGCGGGAAGGCAGAGTGACACGAGCCTGCACCCCGCTCCCCGCTTCCTCCAAGACCCCTTTGGTCCCCAAAAGGTCATCAAATGGGTCTTCAAAAAAGTCCAATGAAAATGGGTTCCCTCCACCAAAACATCCCTGAAGCCAGCATCTGGGTTCTAGAAAGCACAGCCGAACTCGGACGGAAGGACTTCCTCTTCCTCCTCCACCGCGCAGCCCCTCTTGGCTTTCTGGGTCCTGGATGATCATCTTCGAGCCTCTGCCATCACCTCCTGTTTGAGTTTTCTATCTGCTGCTTCTTGGTTCTCAGGGTTTTCACCTGATGCGCTTCATTGCTGGTTTGGGGCATGCTTCTTCTCCCCGCAGTGGGGGTGTCTTCTGAAGGCCTCGCTTCAGGGCCGTCCACTGCATGTCAGAGGACTGGGGGCTGCAAGTGGCCACCGCCCCCCTGGTGGCCGTGGTGTTGGCCGGTCCCCAGCCTTTCCTTTCTCTCCCTCTCTATAGGGTCGCAGAATTTCAACAATGTGGTACATATTCTACAAAAACACACTTCGACTGTGTATCAGAATGTATTGGATTTATGGAGTAATAGCTGAGGGAAGTGTAGATTCCTAATAGTTTTTTTATCCATGGCTGGATATACTTTTCAACTTATTCTTGTTTAATCACTTAAAATATTAAGCATACAGAGCTATATATATTAGATGTTTACACCTTTTTTCTTTTTATATTATCAATTGATATTGTTACATCTGTTGATAACAAAAATGTTATATTTCCAGCACTTTATTTTTAGAAGAAATGCATTATTCATTATTTTAAACAGACTGAATTATTGAGTTCTGTACATCTTTAAGGAATACAGGACTATTTAAGACATAGTGTTGCATAATGGCAGTCCTTCTAGCGCTTTTCTATTGCTCATTTCACCTGTAGAAATTTGTATTTCTAACAGGCAAATGATTATATACTGATAATGGACTTCTATTACTTTAGTTTTAAATTTGAAATATAACAATGTATTGGCATCACTTTGGGAAGACTAATCTTTCACTTAGTCTTCCAAATTTGAATTCATGTGACAATCCTTGGATCTCATTGGCCTTCAAGTTCCCAGACCTGCTATTGTTAGGTATTCTCTCTTTTCTTTTCTTGACTAAAAAAAAATGCCAAGCAAGGATACTTTCTGATGAAAATCAAACAAACTTCTTTGAAAGAAGAAATTTAAGTAGCCAAGTAAAAGCAATTTACCCATCGCATTTATAATCTGGAAGTAAATGCTACATTCTGACATACTTCTATTTAAGTATCGTGACACATAATCTGCTTATGTTTAACAATTGCAAAAATATAGTGTCACCTCTTCTGCCTCAATTCTTCTCCCTTTAAGTTGAAAGAAACATGTGGAGTGTACGTCCTTGCTCCAATGTGATAGCCTACCCCTCTAAACATAGAACTGAAACTAAAACACTGACTTCTTAGACGAGAGACATGAAAAGGCTTTTTAAAATACAAAGAACTTCTGTATTAAATAGGTTATAATGCAGTATTAATACGCTGCACTTATTAGTCTAATACATTTTAGTTATGGTTAAATTCTAATAAAGACTTTACTGAGAACATTTTATTAAGAGCTACTGATTCCTTGGGATGAAACAAAGATTTTCACATTTAAAGTAGAAAAAAATTGAGTTTATGGCCTAAGATTAGATACTTAGTTTACACTGATTTCAAACACAGGACTTAAAATTTTATGTTTTCTGAAATATTGCAACACATAGACTTAAACAGCCCATTGTTTAAATTTTAGAAAGTTTTATATTGAAAAAGTAAAAACAAACACAACAACCTGTATCATGTCACAACAACAAACATTTCCCAAATGCCTAACCACCTCAGAAATGTATACAACCAAAGATTTCTATACTGGAAAAAAGTGAATCTGATGTCTGAACGTCTACCATTCTACTATACAAATGTCCACTCTCCAATGACAATGAAGAAATAAAATATGAAAATAAAATGTCGATGTAAATAATATAAATATGAACAATGAAATAGGGAAATAATTTGTCAATGGAAATGAAACAATTTCCAACAAATCTTGGACACAAAACTTTTTAAACAACACTCACTAGCAAGTATGAAGTTTAATGAAAGGGCTCATAAGCACCATAATGAAAAAATCCTCAGAAACAAGGGGAAAATATGTTTATATAAGAAATACCAACAAATAATCAGAAATCATCAAGAGGACTACAGAGAAATTATGCATGTATAAAGTCACTTAAAGGAAGCCATTACTACATTTGCTTAATGGGACACTAGAGTAAAAGGAATAAAAAAAACAGTCATGAAGATAAAATTAATGAAATCATACAGCCTGAAGAAAACAATAAAAGGAAGGGACTACATCACTAGCTTCCACATTACAAGAACTATTAATAGGAATTTTCTATACTAAGAACTCAGTACAAAAATGCAGTACTAAGAATAATTACCTGAATGTGCAGCAAAATATCATCTTCTTATATTCAAATCTGTATTCACAGAAAATGTTTTCTGACAAGATAGGAACCTCAACAATGTAGAAGGAGTTCATAGTAATGATGATATAAAGTGAATGATTTCATTTATTTAAAGGATGGACACCAGGCGTTGGGAACATGCCAAGATAGTTACACTGACCATGAAACAGTACACTGTAATTGGAAAGACCATTTAGATGAGTTTTAAACATAAGTCTTTAAGTGGGACACCAGTAACAGTATACAAAAGTATACTTGATTTCTGAAGGGAGCAGAGAAAACGCATAAAACACCGAATTATAATGAGTGCACAGAAAGCATGAGAAATTTATACATAATCTGTAAGGACTAAACAAATAGAAAACTTTCAACTATGCTTACTAATCTCAGTAGATCGATGATCACTTTCTATTTGAATTATCTACAGATGATAATTAAAATATAGAGAGAGCAAATTAGAAGATAAGGACAAAATTTTGTTGCTATACAAGAAAAACCATTTTAAGTACAAAGACAAATGCTGTGGAGTAGTTCTGGAGATACCATTCAATGGATTCAAAATTTCAGCTATACAGAAAAAAAAGAGCGACAGATCTATAATAAAAAATGATAACCACAGTTAA